CAACTTTACATAAAAACATATGCAATATACAGTCTTTAAACATCACTTACCCCTCGGATCACAGACCTGTGAGAGCGACACTTAACATTCTTCCCATAACAAAAAGTCGGTGTATGTTCGGCCAAAGCTCCAGATCCCAATTAAAAAACCTCGACACCGCCCGCATCGTCCGCCGGTTTCTTTTCCTTTCCCCCTTACCCTCGGCCGTTTGGTCTCCCCTGCCGAGGGCTCTCATCTGGTTGGATCTTATTTATTTATGTAGTTTTCGTATTTATTTTATTTTATTGATATTTAAGTATATTTATCTTTTCATTTTAATTTATAATTATATATTTATAGAACCCAACCAGGTGAGAAAATTATTTTATTTATATTATAAAGTTGTCAAGGTATAGTCTATTTCGTTTTTTATTTTGCCATTCTACCGAAGAAGAAATACAAGCCTACAAACAAGCGCTGAATAGCTGCATAACAAACTTACTTAAGAACTGGAGAGACGAGGACACCGTTCAAAATCGCTACGATAATATTATAAACGCAATAGACACCAGCCTAAAAAAAGCTTACGAGGTTTCACCCAGTACAAATCCAGGGAAAAACCAGGCACTATCATCACGCACAAAGGCGTTAATTTACAGAAGACAAGAATTACAAAAGACAAAACCAAAATCAAGAGCCATGAAAAATGAACAAAAAGCACTCTACAAACTCATTAGTAAATGTATCTACTTAGACTACAAGGCGTACCGCACAAGAACCTTCGAAAAACACCTTAATACTACAAACAGTGTCAAGAAGGCATACAGGGAACTGAGAACACATAAGCTATGGATTGAAGAGTTGAAAGACAAAACAAAAAATACCCAAAATAGAACAGAAATACTGAAAATAGCAACAAAATTTTATAAGAAACTATACAGCACACCGAGTCAATATACATATAAATTACCAGATACAAATAGAGGAGAGACGAGAGCAAGCATAAAAGAATCTGAAGTGATTAAAGGGATTAAAACACTAAAAACGGAGAAAAGCCCAGGCCCCGACGGTATCGCCACTGAAATCATAACAACTGGATGTGAGTTCCTAGCAAAACCACTAACTACAGTTTAATCAGATAATGAACAGTTCATATACACTCCGTCAATGTTCAGAGTCAAACATTATATTGCTTTACAAAAAAGGAGAACCTAATAACATAAATAATTACAGACCGATAAGCCTACTACCTTCACTATATAAACTGTTCTCCTCAATAATCGAGAAAAAAAAATAAAAGAAAGCACAGAAAAATACCAACCTATAGAACAGGCCGGCTTTAGAAGAAATATTTCAACAGTGGATCACATACATTCGCTAGAGATGCTGATAGAAAAATACCAAGAGTTCAGGAGACCACACTATATTGCCTTTATCGACTACCGAAAAGCATTTGACTCTCTGTTCCACTCATCAATTTGGGATACGCTACTCTCACAAGGAGTATCACTAGACTACATAAAAGCCATAAAAAATATCTATGATAATAGTACTAGTAGAGTGAAGCTAGAGACTACAGGACCACCCATACAAATAAGTAGAGGTGTACGGCAGGGAGACCCACTCTCGCCAACTATCTTCATAGCAGTGCTACAGGCCATCATTGGCAAACTAAATTGGGAAAAAGTTGGCATAAATATAAAAGGACGTTACTTGAGTCATTTGAGATTTGCTGACGACATAGTCCTGCTCTCAGAAAATACAAACCAACTACAAGGAATGATAAACGCTCTATACGAAGTAAGTCGCAAAGTGGGCTTGGAAATCAAACTAACAAAAACTAATGTCATGACGAACCATATTGAAAAACCAATATACGTGGAAAACTCACCCCTAACATATGTAAACGCCTACATTTACCTGGGAAAGCAAATTTCATTTAACCAAGAAAATAACGAACAAGAAGTAGAGAGAAGAGTCAACATTACATGGAAAAAGTTTTGGAGCTTCAAAGAAATACTCAAAAGTAAAATGAACATACGAATGAAAACGAAAGTCATGAACATCTGCTTACTGCCCTCATTAGCATACGCCAGCCAAACTTGGAAATTTACCAGAAAAGTAAAAAATAAAATTATATCCAGCCAAAGGAGTATGGAGAGAAGCATTCTGAAAATAAGGAAAATCCAAAAGATCCGCCACACTCATATAAGACAGAAAACTCAAGCGATTGACGCTCTCAATTACTCACAAAAGCTTAAATGGCGATGGGCTGGACACGTAGCGAGGCTAAGCGACAATAGATGGACAAGAGAGACAACACAATGGACAGGCCCACTAGGACAGAGAAAGAGAGGAAGACCAAATACACGCTGGACAGACGATATCATAAAAGTAGCAGGTACTCATTGGTTACGAGCGGCAGAAAATAGAGAGTACGAGGCTTCTCTGGAGGAGGCCTTTACCTCTCATGGAGAGGGTTCTTGTTAAAAAATCATTAAATTAAACATTGTTACTATGTTATGTCAATTACAATATTAACTTCAATTTAAATCAACAACTAACCAAATTTTACTTATATATTTTTAAATGAAACTACAAAAATGAAATAGATTTGAATATATTATTATTACAATCTAATTATTTGTTAATCATAACCACATTAATTTAAATTTATTTCCTATCTATTTTGCATGCACACTATTAATGAAATTGTACTATGAAATGCAAGAAATAAAAGGCTTTTTTTGCCACCATTGCTGCTTTTGTTCTACCATAATACGTGACGCACGTGACGTTGATAAACTCGCCAAGCAATGTAATGTGAAACATTAGATATCATTGTGTATTGCGTATGTTTATAATACGGCTGTAGGTGGCGACATCGGTTTTGGAAGTAATCGAGCGCTAATTCATTTCTGTTGTCTTATTATTACTATTTCTGTGGTGACAACGTATCTGTGTCCTTCTTTATTTAGAGTGGTTTTAATAGTTTACATTGTAATATCGTATTATCATCAAGCTACGGCAGTCTACTGCTGCACATAGGCCTAAGTCGTGCCACTTATCCCAGCATCGGTTAATCACATTTAGTTTCTACCAGCCATCTTGCGCAGATTGTCATTCGATCTGGTCATTGGATCAGGTCCCCTAACCTGCCGTACCAACTTAAATTTGCCTGGGCTTGGTCTCAACTCACTGACAGGTCTACTCCAACAATTTATTGTGACTTCTGCGAGCAAGTGAGACATTCTTGGATTCCGACCACTTGAGCAGCTTCTAGAACTATAAGAATACACTTTATCATTTTGTTTTTTGTAGTGCTCTTCAATCGTAAAAATTTTTTCACCGGTAAAGAGGATATTTCTGTGCTGCGTATCGCGACAGAAGGCGTTTTGATCAATACACTCTCTTTAATTGTAAATATTGATTTACGGCATGTCCTGTATATCAGCGATAAACACCGATCTTCAGGTCTTGTTTTATAATACGCGACAGAGTCCTAGCGGGAATCTTAATTTTTCGCAATAAGATTTTTTGTTTCCTAATGGGATTTCGACGAATTTTGGCTTTAACAGAATTAACAACCGCCCCGATCTTTTATGGTATTCGATAGAGGAAGTGTTTTTGTGTCTGTTGATTGTACGATATACGAACATACGGTATATACCAAGCTTTTGAAGTGTCTGGAATAGGACGCGTTCCAAATTCAAAATAATAAAAAAGTTGAAAAAAAGAAGAGTTTTTATGTAACAATATTTGGGTAAAAGTAAAGTAAAGTTACAGCCTATATACGTCCCACTGCTGGGCACAGGCCTCCCGCTCATTTCTGAGAGGGTTTTAGGGCAAGGAATTGTCCGCCGCGCTGCCACAATGCGTGTTGGCGAACTTCACGTGTCTTCGAAATATTTTTTCTTATTTCTCTGACATGCAGGTTTCCTCACCATGTTTTCCTTCACCGCCGAGCACGTGGTAAATCTGCACTTAAAATTGCAATTAACAATTTCATTGGTGCCGGCGGGGATCGAACCCGGTTTGCTCGCGTACTGTGAAATTTACAGCGAGCGCTAACCATCTGAGCTACCACGGCTCTTCTGAGCTAGCACGGCTCTATTTTGGGTAAGGTCGTAAAAAATGTACTTTTTGAAAGCTTTCAGTGAGTCCATGTTTGATTGTGAATACCATACGCTAACACAAAGTATCATAATATTATTAATTTATAAAACATTGATAATAATGTTTAGAATAATGTAGAAATAACTATAATATTCAAGAGGCTTAAACATAAAAAACAAAAATATTTTTGAATGTCAAGTTTTATTAAGTAAATCGCGCATGATTTATGACCGGTATTCATTGTTGTTTTGAATTTTCGAGTGTGTTTGTTCCAGTTCGTTACGTGTGTTATGGTGTTTGTTATGTCACACACTGGAAGGTTGTAAAGGAGGCTGTTCACATAACTTAACCGACTACGGTGAAATGAAAAAGGTGTAATGTTATTCTGACGTAACTACATAAAAGTGTAGTGTTATGCTATTCTGATTTATTATTACTAGTTGTCCCTCAGTAGTTGAACTAGGTCCGTTTTTTAATTAAGAGCTCGTCGCCTTTCGTCAACTTTTCCACTCGCACAGGACCATAATATAAAAAAATGTTTAAATGATAAGTTGTATTTTTTTAATTTTATTAAATGGCAAAATATAAATAAGTTATTGTTAAAAACACATTTTTAATGTGGTTTTAAATATATATATATATATATATATATATATATATATATATATATATATATATATATATATATATATATATACATACTAATCTTAATGTTTTAAACGTCATTTTTTATAACAATTTCGAAATGAGTTTCCTTCGATTTTATTAGCTACAAAAAGCTTTTACGTACAATAGAATGTATTTAGGACTTTATTTTTTTTCACAATGAACAGATTTAACTTCTAATTGGAGAAAAAAATTGTTTTTAAAATTGATGACATGTTGCTTTGAGCAAATTTTTTCCTTCATACAATCCTATCCGGGAACTTCTCTTTAGACGTTATACATATTTCAATACTACCTCTTATTTCTTTAGATTTCTCTTTTCTGCTTTTCACTTCTTCCCAGTCTCCTTCTTGCTCACATCCTTTAGCTTTTTTTTGTTCGATTTGAAGGTCCGAAGGCGAAGTATTCCTACCTCTTTTGCCCAATATTTGGCTAGATTCGTAGTTTATATGCTGTTCCAAAAGATCAGACATTTCCTCTAGTATTGGTTCTTCCCCCGCTGACTCAGTAGAAAGAAGATCAGCCTCCATTATTGTTCAACTGAACGGCCGGCCCCGCTTGGCCAAGCCGTAAACGCAGGTAACAAATTCCTAAGCCGATAATAACCGTGCGCGCAACGATACACGTACGAACGGCTCGAGCGCCACTTCGCCAGTAGGACTCTCTTATGGTGTAATTAAGAACATCGAATTAGATCTATCAGAAAAAGAACTGTTAGAATCTTTTTCTTGCTCAATTGAGGTGGCCAACGTGAAACGACTCAAACGCAGAAAGCAGGGGGATGGAGAATCTGGCTGAACTGAAAGTGAATCGGTACGAGTTGGTTTCATAGGGTCTACGTTAACATCGTATCTGTGCATATATGACATGCAAGTTAAGGTGGAGCCATACCTATTTCCTGTTACTCAGTGTTCGAGATGCTGGCGCTTTGGGCACACCCTTAGAATGTGTCCTTCAAAACGTATATACTACCCCAAATGTGGAGGTAAGCATGAAAATTGCGAAACAACAATATTTAAGTGTATTAATTGTACGAAAAATCACATGGCATTGAATCGTCGGTGTCCAAAATATATAAAGGAGAAGAAGTTACGGGAAATAATGGCTGAATTTAATGTTTCATACAGGAAGGCTATGGCAATGTATGTACCGCCCGAAACACCTACTTATGTGCCAACTCAATCGCCAATGCCCCGTTTAGGTAATTTAAATAAGATGCCTCAATTGCCGGAACCTATCCCAGGAACCACAAATAAGTTTTTTAGCAATATTTTGCCGGTTCAGGAGAATTCTACACCAGTTACTTACGCACAGGCCGTGTCATCGAGCCCCATTAACAAGAACAAACTGGACAGTCGGGGAGAAAAACCTGTTCGAAATGACACAACTAAGAAGATTAAGAAGAGAATTCAAGAACCTAATTTAGAAGAGTATATACATGACGGCAATATGTCGACAGAGTCTGAAAGTAGTGTATGTGATCAACCAGTGTCTGAACAAAACAAAAAAAAGAATCGTAATGTACAATCTGATATTCCTTTCTTTAATTTATTAAGCCAACTTAAAAGTTTTATCTCTAATGAGAGTAATGAGCCTTTAAAAAGTAGAATCAAGAATGTAGTGCACTTATTTTTTGAATGGATAATCACATGGATATTTAAAAATATCTCGAACTTGTCTTTTTTACAAAATTTACTCGGTAATAATAGGTAAAGACAGCCTTAACATTTTGCAATGAAATGCTCAAAGTATTAAATCAAAGTGTGCGGAATTTGAACAACTCTTGTGTCAGGAGAAAATTCTTATCGCCGCGCTCTCGGAAACATGGTTGAATCCTGATATAACACTTAAATTTAGAGAATATAACGTATTTAGACTTGATAGGGCGGACTCTTATGGCGGAGTGGCTTTAATAGTACACAAATCTCTCTCGGCTCAGTTGCTTCCACTGCGAAGTGCCAACGAGGTTATTGAGGTGATATCCGTTAAAATTTCTAATTGTGAAATTGTTGAACATATAATTTCTCTATATTGCTCGCCTAGTGCTCGAACTTCATGTAGTGATTGGGATTTAATATTTTCGTTTTCTGATAAAAAAGACTCTAATACTTGGATATTTTAATGGACATCACCCTAATTGGTCGAATAAAACCGATTCTAGGGGCACGCAAATTCTGGACTCATTAGAAGACCATAATTTTGTTTCTATAAACGATGGCAGGCCTACGCGATTAAAATTAGTTGGCGGTATCTTACAACAGTCAGCTCCCGACATTACATTTATATCATCTGATATCGCTTTTAAGTTTAATTGGAATGTTACAAACGAGTGTTTAGGTAGTGACCACCTAATAATTAAGATTTCATCATCTATGAATCATTCTCCTATTATTCATAAAAGACGAAACTTTAAAAAAGCTGACTGGGTGAAGTATCGTCAGGTAATAGAAGAAGAGTGCGCTCATTTCGAAATTTCAAGTAATCCACAAGAAGCCTATGATGATTTTATCACTTTGTTGTTCAAAGCCGCAGAAGCAAGTATTCCATTTATTAAAATATGCCTAAATCGCAAGGCTAATTTTATTCCTAAGCCATATTGGAATCCTGATCTATCTCACGCTGTTGCAGAGAGACGGCTAGCACTTAAAACATTTAGACAGAATCCCACACCGGCTAATTTAAATAGATTGCAGGAAAAAACTCGCAAGGCTCAAAAACTAATTAGAAACGCTAAAAGTAAAGGATGGTGGGAATTTTGTACGTCCTTGAATGAAATATCTTCAGCTTCTGAAATGTGGAGAAAAATGCAGTGGTTAAAAGGTTATAGATCAGCTAAACCACAAATTGAAAAAAGTATTGCTGAGTCATTATTGTGCAACTTAACCCCTGACTATGTAAGTCAACCCTACCCAGGTTACACATCTCAAAATCCTAAATTAGAAACCGAAATATCTAGATCGGAGCTTTATAAATGTTTAAAATCTAAAGACACGTGCCCGGGCATAGATGATATCTCTTATTCAATGTTACTTAATTTACCTATAGTGGGCCAAAACGTTTTACTCAATCTTTATAATATATTTTTTACACAAAGCTTTGCTCCATACCAATGGCGACAGGTTCGCATTATACCTATACCTAAGTCGGGTAGGAACACTAGTTGTACTTCATCTCTTAGACCTATTTCTCTTATTTCATGCTTATGTAAAGTGTTTCATGCCATTATCAATAACCGTATAGAGTGGTATATTGAAAACAAAAAAACTATTTTCTGAGGAAACTAAAGGATTCAGAAAATCACGTTCCTGTCATAATTTAACCGATTTAGTTACAAGCATTCAAATAGGTTTTACAAAAAATCTTTTTACAGTAGCATGCTTTTTAGACCTAGAAAACGCATATAATAATGTAGACATAAATTATCTTTTATCGACCCTCGATCGCCTTAATGTTGGCGCAAAATTTTGCAACTATCTCTGGACTTATTTAAGCCAAAGATTTTTAATAATTGAAGGGATAGATTATAAAATAACTAGAAGTACAGGTCGCGGTCTAGCACAAGGAGATCCACTTTCTCCGCTATTGTTTAACATAGCTACAATAGATATATGTAAGTCTATAATTTCCAAAACACATCTTAATATCTCCCAGTATGCTGATGATTATGTCATATTTATAACTTCTAAAAACTTGAAAGAGGCGGAAAATCAACTGCAATTGGCATTAGACATTTTAAATGATTTATTTTTAACTATAAATTTGGATATCTCACCGTTAAAAAGTAAAATATGCACCTTTTCAAGAAGGCGTCGACAACATAACATTAGTCTAAAAATTAAAGATGTTGCTTTGGAAGTAGTAGATAGCGTAAAATACCTTGGAATGTGGCTGGATCGATCACTGCGGTGGAATAAACATATAAAGGAAACATCTGCAAAAGTATTAAAATTTTTAAATGTATTTAAAGTTTTATCAGGTTCGGGCTGGGGTGTCTACCCTAAACATTTAGGGAACCTCTATATTAGTAATATAAGAAGTCGGTTAGATTATGCGAGCTTTTTGTATGATAACAGTAGTAAGACTAATTTAATTAAGTTAGAAAAGATTCAAAATCAGTCAATGAGAATTATAGGAGGTTATTTTTTTTTCATTTTTTTCATTTTCAAAACAGGTATTGGATAAATAAGAACAAAACCATTATTAACAATAATCCATGACAACTTCAAATCACTTTTTATATACTCAAGCTCACAGTTAGGTATGTTTTCTCTGGATCAGTGGATCACTAGTTTAAACCTTTCAGATATTTTAAGACCAAATATAGACGGAGTTCTAAACCCTAAACATCAGTACCATGTGTTGACCATAAAAAACATGTGTATTACTTACCTAAACGAACATTACCCGAATTATCTGAGGATATTTACAGATGGTTCGAAAGATAATTTCGGAATCGGGGCTTCATTTTAAGATATATTAAATGATATGGCAATAAAGTTAAAAATTAATACTAATATTTCTATTATGGAAGTTGAACTTGCAGCAATCTATGAAGCTTTATCCTATATACAATCATGTAACTATAACAATGTGGTTATTTTAACAGATTCAAGGAGTGCGCTTCAACATCTTGCTCGGTGTACTTCGGTTTTTCGAGGCTTACCAGTAGCATATGCAATTTTGAAGCTTCTAGTTAAGTTGCAGGCTGACTCCATAATAGTACATTTACAATGGATACCTTCGCACATTGGCTTAGAGGGTAATGAAAAAGCTGATATTTTGGCCAAACAAGCTATTTCGGAAGGCACTGATATTAATATTACCCCTTCATTTCAAAACTATATACCGTTATTAAAAAAAATTGTTATGACCTTTGGAAGGAATATTTTGATATAAGAGCAAAAGAGAAGGGTATATGGTACCGTACGATCCAGCCGTTTCCAATGCGCTCAACCTGGATAGATAACCGAATATTGTGTAGACGCGACACTGTAACAGCATTAAGACTCAGATCTGCGCACATTCCATGCAATAAATTTTCATACTTGATGCGAAAAACTACCTCACCAAACTGTTCAACTTGCAACATTATCGATGATGTTTATCACATATTGATAGAATGTGTCCAGAACTCTGGAGAAAGAAAAAATTGTAATATACATTTATCATTGATTGGCAGTATTAATATTATTTTATCAGACCCGTTATCAGAAGATGCCAAAAAACTTTATGTGTTAGTAAATAAGAGATTAAGTAATTAATAAGTTTATATAGTTGTTAGTATTTATCCTATTTAAGAATTTTCTTGTACCAGGGCGTCATAATCGCTTCAGCGACAAAGCCCTTTTTTTCTAAGAATAAAAAAAAATCCTATCCGATATCATATAAATTTAAGCCCGCATTCAAAATTCCTCAACATATCCCTGTTGAATATTTCGACGCAATCCAATACACAACACAGCGACGACTGGCCGTATCTGATTTTCGGATGCCCGAAGCCCAAAACAAAGGCTTGGAGTCAATTAACAGAAACGTGCGAAGTTTATTAACACGCGGCCTTTGTTTTAAAACGAATGTTGTTGATATAAGCAGTAGTTTATTAATGATTTAAAATTGTAAAACAACGCATGCAACTGTAAATTGATTTAAAAAATATATTTATACAAGAATAAAACCAGTCCCTTAAAGCGCTTATAAGTAGATAAGTTTTGTGGGAATTTCTTGAAGCAAATGTATCGCCAGTATCCTGATAGCTCTCAGCAATATTTCCAGCAAGATGTAGTTTTAACTGTCTTCAAAAATTAGGAAGTTTCATGAAATAATTTGTTTTGTATGTATGTTACTCGATCTTTGTCAATTATAGACCGATTTTATATTTGTTTTTTTTTTAAATAAGTTTTACTTTAGGGGTGCTCCAATACAAATTTGTGTGTGGACAAATAGTGGATGAAGTTTTTAATGTAACTACTTCGGTGACAATAAAGATTTTGGTATTCCTTAGTTCACTCAAAAGAGGTAAAACTCAGGCTTTTAATAAAAAGACAAAGACACTATGTCTTAGCACCGACTTCTGAAGCTAATGCAATTATGTGAAAATGATTTAATTCTATTTAGTTTTTCGTAGTCGGTTTTAATTTTTTATTACAAGTCCACTTTTAACAGTCCGTTTTCTAGCCCTTTTCGATATCAAGTGTTTAAAAATATAGGTATCAAAATATAAACAAGAAAAACGATGTAGAATGTATCAAGGATTATTAGAAGAAAAGCTCTGCTATTTTCATCACTCGTTATATGAAACGGTATTCTGTGAGAGGTTGGTACTTCTCCCATTAAGACGACGTATTCGAACTTCAACCCATAATTCGACTTCATCGTATGTCCATAAATTTTAAACACTCCCTGTGATTATAATATTCCTATAACTAAAATGCACTACTTATTAAAAAAAACTGATAAAAGAACTTCCAGTTCACTAGAATCATGATGATGATTGAGAGATGTCATCGCTAAGTGAAAGGAAGTGAGTCCTATTTTACATTTTAAAGACTACACCTTAGAAGAAGCACCCATGGTCACGTGAGTATGGGTGCTGTAAAGTGCCCAAAACTTCAAAAGTTAAAATTAAACGTGATAAAATTCGTAAAATTAGTTGTATTCTATTTCAAATAGCGAGAGATGTTAGATATGGTTTTATTACCATCTGTTACAAATGGTAAAACGTTGCCAGCAACCAGGATCAATGGAGAAATATGTTGCAGTAAGCCGTACAGTGGCGGTGTAAGAATATTTACTACCCCATACCGTTCCGTGGGTGTCATAAGAGGCGACAGAGGAAGACAGGCAGGAGATGGGTAGCAGCATCTTCCTGATTACAACTCAATATATTTAAATCAATCCGCTCGCCAAGCGTGGCAACTGTAGCAAAATACCCCCTGTGAGTCAATCTATGAGGGCGACCTGTGTTCAGCAGTGGATTTGTATAGGCTGTGATGGAATGGTAATGGAAGGTGAGGGTGGTACTTTGATTGAGATAGGGCGTTATTTCAGTTCTTGGCCGATCCCACTTTACCATTTACATGAGAACTTATAGCTTAAAGCAAAATGATTTTCTAATGCGTTAATAAAAGTCCTTAAAGTATTTCTAAGTATATTTGGTGGCCAAATCAGTTACTGGGTTATTCTTAGTAGCAGCGAGGAGTCAGGAAGTTGGCGGTGTCTCACCCTCGCGCCCCGCGCTCTGGTCAGAAAAGCCGTAGCTCCTGCGCCTGATCTCTCTGCCTTCGTATCTGAATAACCCCATCGGATTACGAGAGTAAGGGAATAGATAGTACATCTGTGCTTGCGCATACACTGCCTTTTTAATTCTGTCCTGAGTAGATGATCAGATACCTTTTAAACTTGCCACCGTGACTGAAATTTGATCTGAATGGTGATAAATAAATTAGTTATAATTTATTAATAACAGAATACTATGCTTAATCTGAATCTTTAGGTACCCGTATTTCGGGTCAATGATAATTGGAACGCAAACAATATCAAATCAAAGTTTGTCTAACCCAATATTTAGAAAATCAATGAATGTTATGGAAATTATTGTAAAAGTTGCGCTATAACCAAAGTCATATTCCTCTGTCGCTACACCGGATCAATTTACGAATACGCTTAATTCTCGTTGGTCGGAAACCAATCCTTGTAAATATTTTTTGTTCTTTCTAAAACAATTACGTGGTAAATGAACTAGACTGTACGAGTGAGAACGAACCATATTTTTACAAAAAGTTTTTTTTTGTTCATAGAATAACGGTGATAAACGAGCACACAGCTCACCAGATAGTAAGTGGATGCTGTGGTCCGTGGACTCAATGGAGAATAAAAAATGCAGATGCGTTTTCACCCCTGAGGGCTGAGATGAAATACCTAGTTTTCCTTAAAGGTGTCTCCGGTTCTCTACACTCACCATACGAAACACAGCAGCATTAATTTGCTATTTTTGTATTCTGCGAGAGCGTGGTCTATCCCCGGTCGAGCCGATTTATATGTGCTCCAACTATAAATAAGAATTTTTTCCATTTTTTTTCCTTTTGTGAGAAAATCTATTACTTCGAGGCCTTTTTTAGTATTTTTTTTAAAACCACGAGAAATTAGATAAACCTAATTGAACTCATGATTTTTTATTTAAATAACCAGTACAGTTTTTTTTATTAAGTCGGTAAGATCGTAAAATATTATTCATATTTCATCAATATGTAAATTGTATCTAAATATATTCCCAAAAAACACGATTTCCAAAAAAATACCGATCAAAGCTCGTTCATCCAGGTACTCGTGCTTAAACCCGATTTGTCAAATAAGTTTGAATAGTGGAAATACGTACCATATCGGAACCGTCATCAACCTCTTTCTATTGAAGAAGGTATGACAGTTTTATTTTAATAAAAAGGTCACGTCAACTTTTACCCCGTAATATATACATTTAACAAGCTCGAACTTAATTAACATATTATGGGGCATTGAGTGCATCTTTCTTTACTTTCAGTCGTCAGTGTAAAATGAGAGATATCCCGACAGACAACATTCAACAAAGGGAGCGACAAAGGAATCATGATTTAAGGTTCATTTATTGCATAATTTAATAAAATTTCCTTTTATTTTAAAAATGCAATGGAATTTTGATTACGATACTATACGTTTCAACAATATTGCGTGCTTCAATTCACTTAGAGCAAAAATTTTAAAGAAATAAATATATTACTAACTTTAACTTTGGCCTCTCAACGAAAAAATGTTTGTACACAAAAATAAAAAGTAGTCTGTAAATACAAGGAATAAGTCAGTAATACCAGTTACTGGACTCTAAAAGAGTTAGTAATTTTTCTACTTATCTATTAAAAGGTTTAATATATTTAATAAGCAAAAATTGTTTTAGTTAGGGTTATAAACTACTAAATAGTACATGATTGATAACAACTCATGGGAATGAGTGATCGCTACCACGATGTTTGTAAATGTTTTCATGCTAATTGTATAAGATATATTGTAAGAAAATCACGTATGCAGTTCTCACGAAAAAAATGGTAGAAGTGAAACGTTTAAATGAAACGAAATATAAAATTAAAAAAATTCATGGCAAATTATTTACTTAATACGATCATTTTCAAACAAAGTGCGGAAAATAAAGATAAAGGCAAAATAAATAAATGTTACAATCCTTATTTTTAGACTAAATTTTAGTATATTATAAATCAAATGAATAGTATTTTATATATAATGCTTGAATGATATTTTTATCTCCAAATAAATATCTTTGTAATATCGTCATCTACTTCATTTTATAGGTAAAGTCTTTTTATTGAACAAAAGGTAGACTCTCAAGGTGGTACGTACAATAAACCCTAGATTGCATGAACTTATGAAACCGTGAATTGGTATAAATGGATTGGTATAATAATGTTGCATGAATAAGTCAACTAGCGCCATCTAGTGTCAGGAACGAGAGCGAGGGGAGCATTGAGAAAATGACATCACAAATCGCTCAACTGACAGCGCCTAGTCGAAGAAAAACTCGAACGCTCGGTACCTTCCGCGTGTTTACCTGAACATTCTGGATATTTCTTTGCTAATTTAAATATAGTAGGCGCTGCAAGATGCGATGGAGGCAGTGTTGATTTG